CAGTGTTGCCAGATTCTCGAAAATTAATGTCGCCACTTTAACGGGAAGAAATAGCCAAAAATAGCCAACCTTCCCTTCCAACATTAAATCATAATCATATGCAAATATTTGTTAAATAAATGCAGGAATGCAGCCCCATTATCTTCCGCCCGTTATTTACGTTTTCTGTGAGAACTTGATTTGAGAACAGCTTTCTTCAAAATTAATTAATTTTGGCAAATGACACAAATATAAAACAACTACTCAAAAGAAAACAAAAAATAGCTATGTTATAGGTTAAAAAAATAAATTTGAATACTCCACAAAAATATGTAAATAAATTTATGATAAATTTAGGACATGGTAGATGCTCTAAGTCATTTATAGTTTGAATTATTTCTTCCATTTCCCTTACATTTTTAGTATCACACGTGGCAGTCTCTGTGTTAAACGTGTTTTTATAAATATCTGAAGTAAATTTTTTGAGTTTATCCATAGTTATAGGGCAGAAATTAAAACAGCATTTCGGATTATTTCCGGAAAACATTATTCTTATTCTTAAAATTGGTTAAAATTATAATTTTTACTTTGTAGCCATGGTGTAGCCTGAGATTTTCATCATGTAGCCATTTTCTGTAGCCATAACCAAATAAAAAAATGGGTAGCCAATGGAGATTTTAAATAGCCAGTTTGGCTACAAATAGCCCCATCTGGCAACACTGCATACAGGAATATACACTTATACAGGAAAATTAACAAAATTTGTCAATGTAATAATACAAATTACTTATAGTTTCTACCGCTAGGGTCTCTAGTATTCCTTGTACAACGACCACATAATAGAAGTATGTGACAACGACACAGTTCCATTATTTATTGATTTATTTATCTAATTCAAAGTAGCAGCCTACATTATTTATTTTAAAATTTTTAACGCGTCACAAAAACGGCATAATTGATTTTTAATTCAAACTGCTGCTTTCTTTATCCCCCCGCCGCTATTTCGGGGTATGTGGGACACTAGCGCCCTCTAATTTGGTAAGATATTAGTTTACATAAACTGCGTCTCCTCGTCTAGTCTCCCTGCATGTGATGGTGGATGTAAAATTAAGGGCAAACGAATTTAACAAACCTAAATTTACATGGGACAAGTTAAGTAATTTAAATTGTAGCGAAATATTTACAAGTGAGTTATTTAACATTTTCATTCAGTAAATATTCTGTAGTCGGTTACTGGTGATTTAAATTTCGATGTCGGTGAATCGTTCGAATGAAGTGAACGCGCCTAAAGTAACTTTCATTTTATATAAATTTATGTTGGTAGCTGCAAAAGAGTTGCTAGTGTAATATATGTTTTGTAGTTGTTAGCTCTGTATTAGCACTTCCCCTACCTCACCTTCTTTCTGTCCCTTTCCATTTTTTCTGTCAAAGTTAGCTAACGCGTTTCGTGTCAAAAGACTTAAAACGTAAGTATTTCAAAAATATTTTATTTTGTATAAAAAAAATATCGTCATTGGTGCATCAATTGCTGACATGTAATTAAACTGTTAAAGAATAAAATATTTTTTATGCGGGATCACGTAGATTTGCGCGGATTGCACGTGTTGAGGTTATGTCGCTTGTTTGCTTGTAAAAATCTTCAGCGTTGAATCCTTTGCAGATGCGTTACGTGGCTGCTTACTTGTTAGCTGTCCTGGGCGGCAAAACCAATCCCGTCGCCGCAGACCTCGAGAAGATCCTCAGCTCCGTCGGGGTGGAAGCTGACGGCGACAGAGTGAAAAAAGTCATTTCCGAGCTCAACGGCAAGTCCATCGATGATGTCATCGCACAAGGTAACAAAAAAAAAGACAGGGTCTGAATTGTAGTTTTACTGTTTATTAAATATGTTGTTACTGTGTGTGCATTGAAAAATATCGTGATGATGATTTTAAACACAACCATCTTTCGTATGAGATACGATGATTTAAGCCTTTTAAACTGAATTGGTAAAACTAAGAAATGAGTTAGGTTTCGTGTGACTTTCTTTGAAACTGTCTTTATTTTGTAGGCCGTGAGAAATTGAGCTCCATGCCGGTGGGAGGTGGTGGTGCAGCCGCACCAGTCGCCGCAGCGGTCGCTGCCCCCGCAGCTGAGGAAAAGAAAGGTCAGTCTTTGTGTTTTGTCTGAAGTGCTCATATGCGGCATTTGTTGAATAGGTTTTTTTTATTTTTTGTCTTTTTGTCCGAAAATTCATCGGTAGTGATTCACATAAAATTCGATAAAAGCATTGAGTTGAAGGTTAAAATCGTTCGATATTGTCAGATTGTTTAAATTAAAACAAAATTAACAGGATTTGACTCTTGAAAAAGGATAATTGCAATTTTTTTTTTAAATCGTATTGCCCGAATCTTTTCGATACATTTGTAATGTAATTTTTCCTTTTTATATTGATTTAGGCATAAAAAATTAAAGATAATTTAAGGTTTATAAAGACTTTAATAGGGACTGTTGTGTTCAATTATATTGAATTTATATTAATTTTTTTTTTGGGTAACGATAACCGTTTTCAAAGGCACGTTGAAAACTTTTGATTTCTCTGCTCCTCCGAATGTATAATTAGTCAAATAAAGGAGAATTCGAGCAATGAAAATAATATGAACATTGTTACGAAAACCGTAAAACTAAACGGGGTCCTATAAAAATTTTGTAAAAATTTGAAAACTATGAATCGTAAAAGATTCGGTTATTATTTTGTTAAACGAAGATTATTACGTGTCGGATTTTTTTAAATTTTGATCAGCCTCGGTTACAAATAATAGGTGAAATAAAAAAATTGGGTAAATAAATTGTAAACTACCTTTGACAATTTTAATAAAAAAACTGCTTCGTTTTGAAAACAAGCAGACAAATTTTTGGAACACAAATACAGGGGGTTCGTTAAAGAATGTACCAAAGTTTACCAATAGATTCTACGACGAAAATTATTGGGGGAAAGTCGTAAACGTTTAGTTATCGAGATACAGGGTGCTGAAGTTGAGAAAATAAAAACGATTTTCGGGATATCTCGGAGACACGTTAAGGGGTTTTTTTCTAGTTTGATTCGAGGAGTTTCGACGGAGCGTTCAGCATTTACTGCGATTTCACGTCCATACAAAAAACCAGTGGTGTGCAAACTGTATTTTCCAGACCCTTTTCTAAAAAATAAATGTTTCGGCACTACATAAAGTGGATAACAAATTTATGCTGAAAAGTCGTTGAAAATTTGAAAAATGTTATTTATTTCCACATTTATTTTTTAGAAAAGGAACTTGAAAATATAGCTTGTACGGCGCTGGTTTTTTGTATTCACTTGAAATCACAGCAAATGATGTAAAAAACCATAACGTATCTCCGAGATACTCCTGAAAATCGTTTTTATTTTTTCAACTGCAACACCCTGTATCTCGAAAACTAAGCGTTTATGAGCAACATTGTACACTTAGAATCTAGTGGTAATGTTTGGCCCGTTCTTTAACGGACGCCCTGTATAACATGTGGAAAAAAGGTACAGAACAGGTTTGTTTTTTTTAATTTTTAAATAAAGACACTTTTGAAAGAGAAGAGAAAGAGCTTTTTGAAAAAGAGTGGCGTCGTTTTTTTTCTTCAAAAAATTCTCAAAAATATCTAATAATGTGCAAAATTATGAGACATGTTCCTCCAGAGTGGAATCTTTTTTTATTCTATTTTTTTCGAATTAATTTTTATTTTTGTTTCAAATTTTTACTGATGTACGCTATTAAACGAAATTTTACTGTAGAAGTAAACCACAATGACCAATTACTAAAAATACCATATTTTCAAAACTACCATTTGCTAATATTGTCATTATTCCGATTTTTTTTCTTTTTCAATATTAAAAAGTTTGTTTTCCATAATGCCTTAACACTTGTTATATTTTTGACCATTTGTATTTAGTAAAAACATTTATATTAACGACGAAATAAAAAAAAATAAACTTCCAGAATGCTTGACGGATTTTATTTTCTGTATTATTTCATTAAATACAACATAGCGTTACATTATCCGTAAAAAATATAAACAAAAAAAATCTAATTTTAATTCGAAAAAAATGGAATAAAAAAGATCCCACTCTGGAACCTGTCTCATAACTTTGGAAGACGATTTATTTGACAATTTTTCGATGAGAAATAAACAATCTTTGATAATTTCAAAATTTTCGAGAAAAATGCAAAAAACAGGTTTTTTTCTGATTTTTCGTTTTTTATTTTTAATTTCTGTAGAAATAATTTAATTTTGACGAAACTTGGTGAAAGTTTACCTTTCTGTGTCTTAAATAACCACAATTTTTTTTAGATAATTATTCTATTCTATTCTATTTTAGATAGATATTCATTTTTTCGTCTGAAACACTTTTTTCCAAAGAAAAATTCTACTTAGAAAAATCATCGTACAGAGTTTTGCAAGTGATGATGTTTTCGTTTTGACATATACTTTTTGGTGAAATAAAAAAATTGCATTCACAGTTCAAAAACATGCGTCGAAATTAAGTTAATTTTGCGGAAATGAGAAATAAAAAACGAAAAATCAGGAAAAAAACCGTTTTTCGTATTTTTCTCGGAAATTTTGAGGTTATGTTAAAAAGTGGCCTCTACAAAAGTTGTAGATTTTTGCATGATCTACAACTTTTGCATTGGATACTTTTTTGTTTGACGTTAACTTTCGCCAGAAATCCCAATGATGCAATTTTTCCCAACTTTTCAACCCCCAAATCAACTCTTCGCCACCCCTGCTCACGCATTTATTTTTTTTTGTTTATTATAAACCCCTTTACCATTTCCACTTATAAAAGTCCAGGTAACAATTTTCTTTTTTTTTTCCCTCTATACGAGTTATTTCGGTCGTTCTAACTGTTGATACTACGGGAAACAACTTCTCTATGGGTTACCTGCCCGACTAGCATTGAATTATATCAACAATACCCAGTAAACACCTAGTAAATATAATTAATACACTTTTTGTATTATTGTATTGTTTTTTGTATTGAATTTATGAAATAATGCAATCGTTCAATGAAATACCTTGTATTCTTGCTGTTCTATGGTCACCCTTGTCAAAAACGACATCAAATTCTATAAATTTTAGAGCAGTTTTAAAAAAAATTGATCCCTACGGTTAACGCTTGTGATGATCCAAATTCACACCATCTTTCGCCTGAGAAAATCGTGCTGTACACTTTTATAACTGACTTTTAAGCTTACTCGCACTAATTGTATGTTTTTTCTTGTACGTTCTAACGATTTGGTTTTTTCTGTATTCCAGAAGCCAAAAAGGAGGAGAAGAAAGAAGAATCGGAGTCCGACGACGACGACATGGGCTTCGCGCTCTTCGACTAAGACCTTATTCCTTACATTGTATATTTTGTAAGATCAAACCTGATTTTCTAATAAAAATGTTAAGTTGACCATCGGTTTTTATTGTCCTGAAATGTGGCGCCTCGAGAATTGCCGATAAGGACCGAAAACCATGAAATTTTTCTTCAAATGTTATTAAAATCAATTTTAAGTATGTCGATTTTTTTATTGAATTGTTCAAAAAATGATCAAAATTTATTTGTTTGTAGCGCCTTTTGAAACTTTTGCAATAAATTGCGCAATTTATTGGTCAAATTTTATACACTTGAAATAAAAATCGGTCGATAATGGACATAAATTATTACGTACAAACACAAATGCAGTAAAAACATGTACGTGACCTGTTTAAATATTTAAATTAAAAATAAATGTCGAGATTATAGAACAAAACTAAAATTAGTGCTGTTAATATCGGGAAAAGTGCTAAAAACCACCAAAACTGGACAATAAATTGATTCTATTGCCCTTGATTCACTAAACCTGGGAAATTCGCCATAATTTTTTATATTGTACCAACGAAACTTGGCCAATTTATTGCAGCAAAAATTGGTACTTGTCAAACGTAGCGAAATATTCCGAACCAACCAACTTCTAAGCGGAAACAGTCGGAAAAATGTCTTGAACCGTCCCTGGCCAGCGATTTATTTTCCTCGGAATATTTGTTGGGTTAATTTTCTTGAAAGCCCGTCACCGGTTGTATCAGCATCATTCCCATTCGAAAAACGCATTTATTTCAAATAGACCACGTTCCAGCACATAACTGCGATAAACACCTAAAAATAGTAGATTCGATGAACTCTTGCTTATGACGTCACGTCCATTTAAATCGCTGCGTGAATTTAACCACATGTGCGTGTATCCATCTGAGTTAGGGGTCAAACTGACTAGGCAGTGTCGTGGCGCATATTTCTTTCATAAAATATAAATATCCACTTTTTTTTTAATTATTTTTAAAGATTTGTTTGGTACTGCCCCTCATATCCCGATCTTCCCCCATTACTCGACCGCGTACGCGCGCTTAGTCATTTTTGAGTATGTTTGGAGGAATTTTTCACCTATTTTCCATAATTATTTCGGAAAATTAGAAAATGGGTAAGTTTTGTAGTACCAAACTTCTAATTTTAAAATCCAGAAATTTTGCAAAATAGTGCACCAAAATATTCAAATTGCAATTGTGCCAAAACCAATGGTCCAACAGCGCCAGCTTTGTGCACACTGAAAGTACATATAGTTCACTACTTTTGTACACAGGGTCAGCTCTACTACTTAAATAATGACGGAGTAATGTTTTTTTTTAAATAACGCTAAGTTTTCCGATTTTCCGGGTTTTCTTCGATTCTAATTGTCCGATCGGATCGATCGACCTCTCTTTTATTCGTATTTCGATTCTCTACAAATTGCCTGTATATAGCATTCAGATGGCTTCGTTAGTTTAGGTTTTATAAGCAAAAAACTAAAAAAACGCGTTTTTTGCATAAAAATGTTTATAAAAAATTAATTAATGGTAAATTGGAAGTAGGAAACATGTAAGGATATATCTACAGACTGTCTTTTATATGATGACACAGCCCGTTTCACTGATTTAATACTCTATTGAGCGTGAATTTCCTATACACCTTGAAAAACATTGACGTTACGCCAATGACCATAGAATATTAATAAAATATTGTTTTACTTCGTTTTTAGTGTAAATTACAGAGTACTTGTGTTTAATATATGTGTTTAAATAATATAAATTATTAAATATTATCTATAATTGGAAATATATCCAGTTTTATTGAAAAATTTCATTTATTATGTGGCCCAACGAGGATGTGGCCCAGTGCACAGGTGGCTAGGCGCGACCTCCAACGTCTACAAAGAAATCGGCGCCATCTTGGGTGTCTCATCCCGACTAACTGTCACTCCGGTCTTGTTACAAAAAATAATAGTCAGAATTTTCATCGTGAGCCCGTGCGAGTGTACAACGGGGAAGACTGAGAAGTGTTGTAGCTTTTATTTTGCGTATTGTTGCGGGATACTGGCAACATGACGCAGCAACTTCTACCCATTAAGTTCCAGGAGCACTTGCAGGTAAAAAAACAAACGCCCCTCCGCCTTCCTGCTGTCCTATCCCGACTTTTCCAATCTAGTGATCGATCTCGGCGGGTTTTGTTTTTCGCGATGGCGATCGTTCTTGTGTTTTTCGAGGAAAACGCCCTACGCGAGGGTTTCTCGGGAAAATCGCCGTCGCCGGTTGACAGGTCGAGTGTGGGGGCGGATTTTTCCACGTATCTTGTTTTTCCAGGGTCACGGATGAAGATCCTCAAGTAAAAACCACCGTTAGTTTTTGCGTGACATCGCGACATAAAATCGTTGTAGTTTTTTTACGCGTGAATTCTGTTATTTTCAGATTTAGGTCAATTTTTGGACCTTTGTTGGGGGTGAGAGGGGTAATATTTTCCGTTCGAGATCGATCATGTCGTCATATTCGGCGAATCGTGCAAAAAATATTTAGGTCGGTCCCATATGGCTACAAAAAAACGCTTGTATCTCTATAATGTCCAAACTTTAACCAAAAACTAATTAAACTGACAATTTAAGTATAATATTAGCTCTTTTTGGCTCTGGCCCAAGTGTTTTTTTTTTAAATAGGCTATCCGATAAGTATTTTATAGCTGTAGGAAATGGGAAAACAATGCTGTAAATAATTTAGAGGATGATTAGCTGTTAAATAGCTTGCTTTGAGGTTTTTCACCCATTTCATTGAGTGCAAAATGACTAATTTCATCTGTCTTGTATTGATTAGTTAAGATAACGCTCTAGATAAGGATATTTAGTGATATAATGCATTAGTGTTATGGTTAAAGTGTTTGTAATTTGAGATGCAAATCAAACAATCCAATTCAATTTCCACTGCAAACTGAGATGTTTCGTACCAAAAATGATATAAAAACGTATCTGTTTTGTTTTTTTTATAACGCATGCCTTGATGCGACCTTGAGAGTTGCCATGTCACAATTTTTGTTTTGTTTTAACTCCTTGATTAATTCAAACAGAAAAAGCCTACTGGATTACACGTTCTGTTACATATAATGTACTATTTTTGAATCGCGATATCTGCATACACTGAAGCGTCTGTTTTTATGTGTTTGTTTACAGGAGATGGATAATCTGTATTTGTGTCTAGTTTTGGGCGACCTATATAAATATGTATTGATTTCCCATTCCATAATTTTATGGTAATTGCGATTTGATTGAATCTCGGTGATTCATAGATAGAATATCAATGAATTATTGTGGGTACTTTTTTTTTGGTATTTTGCCACATTGTTAATTACATGTTTTTAAAAATTATACTCGATAAACACTTAACAAACTTATTTTGGCCTACTTTGGTATCTCGTAAAGAGAAATAGATAAATAGTAGTGTATATGTTTACATTTTGAAAGCTTGTCCACTTATCTTTTCGAAATGGTACATTTTTCTTGATTTGTAATATAATTTGTTATCAATTACTTTGTCTTAAGAGCAGCTGGATACAAACTTATCTTCGTTTGACAAAATAATTGCCAATTCCCTTAGATTTCTCTTTGTATTATTCTCTTTCCGAAATTTTCCTTCTTTTTCATATAATTTTGATGTTTACTAATTCTAAAATTTATAGGTGTCAAAATTACACTAAAATATTATTTATTACATTATAGAGGATACACTAAATGAAATTTATTTCATTTTGATCTTTTTTTCTGATTTTTTTTATTAGTTACAGATGAAATAGATATGTTATTGATTCTTTTCTAATCTTTTTAAACAATTTTTTATAGACTGTATTCAATGTATTTTGAAATTAATTTTTCGATATAGATATGATATTAAAATTTAAAGAAATTTGATATATAATTTTTTTTTGGAACTTACAAAAATTTGAAGTTTTTTTTGGGAAAACAAATATTCTATAATAAGCACCAATATTTTTACTCTTTTTAAAAAAATCTTATCAAAGTACATATTTCTTGTTATGTTATTAGAATATATGTTTTTTTAAAATAAAATTGGCCCAATCAGGCACCATAAAAAACTCTAATTTATTATTTTTTCTATCTCTAGCTCGGTTTATTTATTTAATTCCACCTAATCTCACCGAATGTCACTGTCAGTTTCTTCTTCCGCCGAAAACAATGTATCATAATAAAAATATCCAGTATGGCAGCTGTAACTGTCGATTTATTTTGTTTGCGAGATGTTATAATCAGCCTACCTAGATCTCTGGTATTGAAGAATATCGTTAGATTTCATTTAATAAAATTAAAAAAAAATTGAGTTGAAATTAACTTAATATCTTTGAAATAGAGTAGAAAATTCATCGTTTCTGTCTAAGCCAATGGTTTTTTTGAACTTTGATGACGTTTAATACATTTTTTTCTAAAACCAGTAATTTTAGAGTTAATGTCGATTCATTTGTACAACAAAATTATTTTAAATTTATAAAAATAACCTAAAAATGGCACATGCTTTGGTTAAAACGGAAGAGATAATTTTTCTTTAAAATTCAATTAGGTTTCAAATGTACCCATCGAATTTTCGAAATAATCAGTGGTGTCGAAATTCTGGGGTTTTTAGTGGCAAGATCTCGCATTACCTAAAATTTATAAAAAATTTTTATTATTGCTAAAACAATTTTTTTTTGTATGCCATTCGATTAATTATTTAAAATAATGAAAAGTTGTTTTCGAAATTTTGTTTTACGACAAAGATAAAAAATCATGTTTGCTTTGTGAAATTGTTAAAACTTTTTTATTAAAAATTAAAAATATATCTATTTCTCTGAAAAGATAGTTTACATTTTTTAGAGTAGATGGAAAAAAAAATTATAAAATTTATTAATTTTTCTGCTTGTTATAACTTTTTCAAATTTCTATCATCCCTTACCTTCTAGTCTACTTAACTCTGTTAATTTTAATAGTACAAGAAAAAGTCAATAGACCATTTTTATGTAGAATTTTATGCTCTACAACTTGTATCAGAAACTTTTTTTTCTAGCTCTTACCCCTTTTGCGTTGTCTTGAAAAACCCCTTTATTTTATCTTTGTCACTGTCACTTATTCTTATTGTATACTTCAAACTAACTTATATAAAAAATTCAGGCAAAACCCATTTAATTGGACTATAAATTTGAGATAACTACAAATAATGAATAGACTAAGGATATTTGAGTGTTTTTTAACCTCAAAATTATCCTAAAGAAACCCTCAGGAGTTCAAAACGCAGTGATTTTTCTTTCATTGCGATACGAATGATTGAAATTGTCACCTTTGCTAAAAATCAACAAAATGATGAAGATGATTTGCATCTTTTATTCTTTATTTCTTTAAATTGAAAATGTTTTTCTCGCAAAAATCCATATTTTTCTTCATCAAAAAATGTTAAATGTTGAAAAAAAAAATAAAATTAATTTTAAATAATATTCGCAGTGCTACACAATCGTCAACAATTTACTTTTTTTTATTTAGGATTTTTTTTATCCTTTAATTTTTGTGCCTAGTGTATTTGCGTAAATCTTAAATCTTTCCAAAAGCTAAACATTTAGACTAACGAATTTTTTTTTTATTTAAAAGTTATAACCGAGTTTAAAACGCTATAAACAATTACTTTATGACAATCTATTATATGTACAGGGTGTTCCAAAAAAGGGACTCATACAATGACTTGTTAGTAACGTTTTTTTTTTAAATTAACGTTTTGCTATTACCTACTTTTTTTCCAGTCGAAGCAATTTTTTTTGTATCTAGACAAATTGTCAGTTGAAATTGTACAGACCGAATCTGACCCTTGTGTACTATTTACATAGATACTATAAAAATGAACAAGTTCAAATTAACTTATTTTTACAAGCATTTGGAAGTATTTAAGAACAACTAACACGTGTTTCGTAAAATAGATACACACTAATGTGCTTAAAACTTACAAAAAATGATATATGATGATACGCTGTCATCATTAGCGTATTTTCTCTTCTTTTGTTTAATCTTGACATTTTCTAGTTCTACTAAGTAGTTATTGTTTTTTTGGTATTGTGCTGTGTCAGTGTGTTTATCGAGTATTTTTTTCTTCATGCGGTTTATTATAGACTTAACCTTAACCAAACTTTTCTTGAATGATATTCTATTGTGAGGCTACTTCGTTTACATGAAATTGTCTTTAATGCAGATGCTCAGTACCTAACATTGATATAATTTAAATTTATTAATTACTATAAAAGTCAATATTGTTCTATAAATTTAAATATACCGTACACGCCTAAAGTATGGAATAAATTCAGTAAAAAGGAAACAAATTTTTTTTGGGAAAAATCCTCGAACAGGTCGATTTTTAATTTAAATAATACATATTTTAGCATAAAAGGCGATTTTCAACCGTCATTTGTTTTCGAGTAATGACGTCATCGACATTTATTTTTAAATAGCAACCCCCTATTTTTTTTCTTGATTCTGAAAGATCGTTTCATTGTCGATCCGACAGTATTAAAATGTTGCCATCTTACATAGGAAAGTTTTTCGAGTAAATGACGATTGAATGTTAGTTTTAAGTAAATTTTATTAATTAAAAAAATAACAATTCCTATGTCAAGCAAATACAATTCATTAAGTTTTCTACCTAAATTAAGTGTTGGAATTGCCACCCACCGACTTCTTGACAATATGCAAGTCTGTGTAGAAATTCTTCTTGCACATTATGAATTATTTCTGGGGTAACTTTGTGTATTTCATCTACATATAATACAATTTTGGAGTTCTTCTAAATTATGTGGTCTATTAACGCACACTTTGGACTTTAAGTAGCCCCATAAGAAATAGTCCAGGGGTGTAAGATCTGGGGATCTTGCGGGCCATTCCATCGGTCCTCGTCCGCCGATTCACCTCCTAGGAAAACAATTGTCCAGAAAATCTCCGCATAGTGCGGAGGTGCACCGTCTTGCTGAAACCATATGGTGTCATCAGGAATATCAGAGTCATTATCGTTAGGAAAAATTGCTGCAAGCGCTGGCACAAGGTCAGTTTGTAAAAACTCTAAATATCTTTCTCCTGTAAGGGTTCCTTCAAAGAAGAAAGGCCCTACAATTCTGTTGTCAACTATTCCAGCCCACACATTTAATTTGTGTGGGTGTTGGGTATGTGTCTCTGCCTTCCAATGAGGATTTTCCCGACACCAATACCTTCAAGTTTGACGGTTCACTGTACCATTGAGACAAAACGTGGCCTCGTCTGAAAAAAGTATTTGCCGGTGTAAATCTCTATTTACTTGACATAAATCCATCATAATATCACAAAAGTGTAAGCGGCGGTCGGGATCGTCTTCATTGAGTTGCTGCACAAGTTGAATTTTGTAGGGATGATATTTTTCCTTCCTCAGGATACGTAGCACTGTGGTCTGACTAATTTCATTGTTTAATGCAACCAATCTTGAAGTATTATGAGGATTATCTACCATACTTATCAAAATGTTCTGTTTGCGATCTTCACTAACGCTTGGACGTCCAGGTTTTGGAATATCTACAACATTGCCAGTTTCTCTAAATTTAGATTCTATCTTACTGACTGTTGATTGGCTGATACGGCGATCTGGATGTTTTTCATTAAATAAATCGCAAACTTCCTGCTGCGTTCTAGTCTTATCCCCACATCCGATAAGAACTAAAATTTCGATTCTTTGTGTGACAGTTAAATGTACCATAATACTTTAAATTCAACAATAATTTTTATATCGCTTACAATACTTAGAAAGTCGGTATGACTGTGACACTTTGTAAAGATTTACACCTACGTGATCCATAAAAAACTTCAGGCATTTCGAAAAACTAAACTTGATAACGTTTTTGCTTTACTTTAATTGATTTGGGTTTTCTAATACTCAATCGGCATTTACTCGAAAACTTTCCTATATAAGATGGCAACATTTTAATACTGTCGGATCGATAATGAAACGATCTTTCAGAATCAAGAAAAAAAATAGGAGGTTGTCGATAACGTCATTACTCGAAAACAAATGACTGTTGAAAATCGATCTAGTTATAACATTTTTATTTGTGGTTTTTCAAAAAAAAAATTTAATAATAATTAGAGATTGCTTCTCTTGTTCCATGACATTAACCGTTTCCGAGAAAAAACAATTGTTTTAATATTTTTTGAACGATGTTTTGGGACACAAAACATAAAACTATTATTTTTACGACTAGAATTTTTTGACTTCTCATTCGGTACCGCCTGCCTTTTTTTTAAATGACCTGAATGTATCGTCTCGAACTTCCTACCATTCTAACTTCCATCGATTTCCAGCTCACCAATGTGGGCATCAACGTGGCGAACATCTCGTTCGCCACCCTCACCATGGAGAGCGACAAGTTCATCTGCGTCAGGGAGAAGGTGGGCGAGTCCTCCCAAGTCGTCATCATCGACATGGCGGACCCGAACAACCCCATCCGCCGGCCCATCACGGCGGAGAGCGCCATCATGAACCCCGCTTCCAAAGTCATCGCCCTCAAAGGTAAGTCAGCGACGATCCGGCGGCTTCCGCTTTTACGAACGTCGCACCTTTTCCAGGCAAGGCGGGGGTCGAGGCGCAGAAGACCCTGCAGATCTTCAACATCGAGATGAAGTCCAAGATGAAGGCGCACACCATGACGGAGGACGTCATATTTTGGAAGTGGATCAGCCCCAATACTCTGGCGTTGGTGACGGAGACCTCCGTCTATCATTGGTCTATGGAGGGGGACTCCACGCCGCAGAAGATGTTCGATCGGTGAGTCCAGCGTGTGATTATGACGGTGATTTTTTATAAAATATGAAATAAAAAAATATTCGGGAATAATAATTAACGTAACTTTTAAAATAACGAAGAAACGTACAGATTTATAGAAATAAGGAAATAACGCATTCCGTTAGAGAGCTATCTCAGATGCAAACTTATTTGTGTCGGTTGGTGAGTATACCAACAATATAAGCTTTTTAACAAACTTTATGCCCAGCAAATATTGTAATTCATTTTTTATAACTATATATTTCACTTTTTCATTCGAATAAATGCCTTCTAACAAATAAATATTTAATTCGTCCCATACAAATGTGACTGGCTCTAAAATTTTTTTTTTCTCCCAGTTAAAACATTGCTTCAGTGTAGTAGTTAATAGGCGTATGAAAAACAGCAACGGTTTCCTAGGAAGGGTTTTTCAAATTATGATTTTCATTTAAGTGGTAATAAAAAGTTCTCCGATCAATGTGGAAAATACGTGTGAGAACTACAATTCATTCATAAAGCTGAAGGCTGACAAAATCTAACTGATTTAAACGAGAAATCAGATTGTACTTTCTGCAAAATTTGAATCCGATCTCAGAAGTGTCCCATCACATGAAGTTTTAGTGTTATCTTAAGCTGAAAACGCGAAGAACACGTTTTTCTCTATATTTGAGGTTATGTTACAGCATGGAGTGTTTTTCCCTCACAAAATTCTTTAAGGCATCGATGGTACTACTCTTCTTGAAAATNAACTTCCTACCATTCTAACTTCCATCGATTTCCAGCTCACCAATGTGGGCATCAACGTGGCGAACATCTCGTTCGCCACCCTCACCATGGAGAGCGACAAGTTCATCTGCGTCAGGGAGAAGGTGGGCGAGTCCTCCCAAGTCGTCATCATCGACATGGCGGACCCGAACAACCCCATCCGCCGGCCCATCACGGCGGAGAGCGCCATCATGAACCCCGCTTCCAAAGTCATCGCCCTCAAAGGTAAGTCAGCGACGATCCGGCGGCTTCCGCTTTTACGAACGTCGCACCTTTTCCAGGCAAGGCGGGGGTCGAGGCGCAGAAGACCCTGCAGATCTTCAACATCGAGATGAAGTCCAAGATGAAGGCGCACACCATGACGGAGGACGTCATATTTTGGAAGTGGATCAGCCCCAATACTCTGGCGTTGGTGACGGAGACCTCCGTCTATCACTGGTCCATGGAGGGGGACTCCACGCCGCAGAAGATGTTCGATCGGTGAGTCCAGCGTGTGGTTGTGATGGTGATTTTTTTATAAAATATAAAATAAAAATATATTCGGGAATAATAATTAACGTAACTTTTAAAATAACGAAGAAACGTACAGATTTATAGAAATAAGGAAATAACGCATTCCGTTAGAGAGCTATCTCAGATGCAAACTTATTTGTGTCGGTTGGTGAGTATACCAACAATATAAGCTTTTTAACAAACTTTATGCCCAGCAAATATTGTAATTCATTTTTTATAACTATATATTTCACTTTTTCATTCAAATAAATGCCTTCTAACAAATAAATATTTAATTCGTCCCATACAAATGTGACTGGCTCTAAAAATTTTTTTTCTCCCAGTTAAAACATTGCTTGTAGTAGTTAATAGGCGTATGAAAAACAGCAACGGTTTCCTAGGAAGGATTTTTCAAATTATGATTTTCTTTTATGTGGTAATAAAAAGTTCTCCGATCAATGTGGAAAATACGTGTGAGAACTACAATTCAATCGTAAAGCTCAAGGCGGACAAAATCTAACTTATCTAAACGAGAAATCAGATTGTACTTTCTGCAAAATTTGAATTCGATCTCAGAAGTGTCCCATCACATGAAGTTTTAGTGTTATTGTAACCTGAAAACACGAAAAACACGTTTTTCGCTATATTTGAGGTTATGTTACAGCATGGAGTGTTTTTCCCTCACAAAATTCTTTAAGGCATCGATGGTACTACTCTTCTTGAAAATCCATTTTGAATCGTTTGAAGGTTCCTATCCGAGTAATCGTTTTTTGATATTTATTAGTTTGGCATGTTCATCGATATTCCAAAATTATTTAATAATATGGATGTGAGAGGGGGCAAGCAATTTTTTTCTGGATTACCTTCATTACAACTCACATAATAAAAGTGTAGAACCCTAGATCTGGGCGAGGTCCGGAACATTTTCAAAATTGCAAAAATGTTTAAAAATTTTTAAAAAATACCTATTTTATCTTAATTTTTTACTTATATCTTGGAACCTATGCATTTTGGAAGAATATTGAAGAGGAAAAAAAGTTTTAGAATTGAATTTTGCACAATATACTGCAAGTTAAAAATGTTTAAATTTATTACCGAAGTTGCAAAATAGCAATAATTGATGAAAAAAAGGCAAAATAATCAAGTTTTTTGGATAATTTTTTAAAAATATTTTAGTTGCTCCGAGGGCATTCTAATTTTGGTAAAAATATCTTTAGAGTATAATAAAACAACACACCAAATTTCATTAAAATCGGTTCGATAGTTTTTGCAAAATAATTTTTTGAAAAAAATTTTGAATTTTCAAAATGTTGCACAGCCTCAAATAAAGCATTTAATCCGATGTCTTGCGAGCCAAGGAATTCGCATTTTGAACCTCCAAATTCAGTCTCAGAGCAAAAGCCCCCTCCCCCACTTTTCGTGTTGAGTCACTTTTCCGGCGTGCGAGCGACAGCTTTTCCACTGATTTATCTACATTGCCGATAACTTATGGATATGAAAATTTTTTGCAGCTTAGAACTCGGAAAAACGAAGCTACTGGATCAAAGATTATTGCTAAATTGCTTATAAATTAACGGTAAATGCCGATAAACTTTGACCGCTTATATCTCGAAAACCAATAAACGGAATTAAACTTTTTTTTTTAAAAAAGAAGTGTCTTTCCGAGTACTTTAAAATTATAATTTTTGTAAAAAACTGAATTGCAAATTGATAAATGCAATCTATTTGTTTAAAAATAAAAAAAGAGTGTTGACTTTAAAAATTTACTGTGGCCGTCCTAATCAACCGATTTCAATTTTTCAAAAACCATTTGAAAGGTTGAGCGGTCTTTGCTATGTGAAAAATTTTTCAAGTATCTAAGATGCTTTATTTTTTTTATTTCAAAAAATTATTTTGCGAAAACTGTAACCGTTTTTAATGAAATTTGGTGTGTTGTTTTATTATACTCTAAAGTTTTTTTTACCAAAATTAGAATACCCTCGGAGCATTTAAAATATTTAAAAAAAAAATTACCCAAAAAACTTGATTATTTTGCATTTTTTTCATCAATTATTGCTATTTTGCAACATCGGTAATAAATTTAAACATTTTTAACTTACAGTACATTGTACAAAATTTAATTCTAAAACTTTTTTTCCTCTTCAGTATTCTTCCAAAATGCATAGGTTCCAAAATATAAGTAAAAAAACTCGGATAAAATTGGTATTTTTTAAAATTTTTTAAACAATTTTGCAATTTTGCTAAAATTCAAAAAGTGAGATGAGTTCAATAACAAACACCTTAATCCCGACTGCTCCTTCAGGTTTTTGGGGTGGCTGATTACGAATCTGAAGTCAGAATTATAAAATTCAAAATGGCGGATCCAATATGGCGGACGGTGTAACAAAAATGTTGGAACTTAGAAGTGAAAGAAATTTTGTCGGTTTCTGCACAAAATTACGCAGATATAAATTTTATTTGTTAATGCAATGTTTTTGATAAAAAAAAATCATGATGTTTTTAAATTACGATCAAGGCAACGCTTATTCGTCAGCTCGCACACCGAAGAAAACTTTTTATCGCTTGCACTTTGCTACTATAAACAGTTCTGAGATTGTTGAGGTAATCGAATCCAAATGTAGCATTAAGCGTTACACTTTCGAAATTCAAGATGGCGGATCCAATATATCGGATAAGGTGATTCTATACACTATAACCTTGGAGATGCGTTCCCATCACAAAAAAATACAACAGACTCTATAACTCGAAAACAGCATGAATTTTATGAAAAAAATTGCATTATATCCACAGAGATTTTGTCTGACATTTGTTTTATCATTTCTAAATCGCATTTTTTTATTCCATCCGCCATCTTGAATCCGCCATTTTGAGTTGAAGGAAAAAAGATATTCAAACGATTTAAAATGGATGTTGAAAAGGAAAAGGAGTTCTTTCCGACAACATAAGGAGTTTTATTGGAAAATTGCCTTATGACGTGCCATAACCTTAAATATAACAAAAAAAAAAAATGCTTTCAGGTTAAGATACCTTTAAAACAAAATAAATCACGCCCTTCATGGTTTCTTTCAGCCACTCCTCCCTAAACGGATGCCAAATCATCAACTACAGAACCGACCCCAAACAGAACTGGCTGCTGCTGGTTGGCATCAGCGCCCAACAATCCCGCGTCGTTGGCGCCATGCAACTCTACTCCGTCGAGAGGAAGTGCTCTCAACCGATCGAGGGCCACGCCGCCTCTTTCGCTACATTCAAGATGGAGGGCAACCCGGAACCGTCAACCTTGTTCTGCTTCGCCGTCAGGACGCTGCAAGGCGGCAAATTGCACATCATAGAAGTAAGCTTTGACTTTTTTTGCGTTTGGATCGGAACTTTCATATATTTTTCTTTCCGTCAGGTCGGGCAGAGCCCTGCGGGGAACCAGCCGTTCCCTAAGAAGACCGTGGACGTTTTCTTCCCGCCCGAGGCCCAGAACGACTTTCCCGTCGCCATGCAGGTGTCCGGCAAGTACGACGTCATTTACCTCATCACCAAGTACGGCTATATCCACATGTACGACATAGAGAGCGCCACGTGCATCTACATGAACCGCATCTCCAGCGAGACGATATTCGTGACCGCCCCACACGAAGCCACCGGAGGAATAATCGGTACGATATACGGAAAGTTGGGGGAAATACGGTTGTAACGATTCGTTTCAGGTGTTAACAGGAGGGGGCAGGTCTTGAGCGTTTCGGTGGACGAGGAGAGCATCATCAGGTACATCAACACGGTACTGCACAATCCCGACTTGGCGTTGCGGCTCGCCACGAGAAATAACTTGGCTGGGGCCGAGGAGTTGTTCGTCAGCAAGTTCCAGATGCTGTTCCAGAACGGGCAGTACGCCGAAGCCGCCAAAGTCGCTGCTAACGCCCCTAAAGGTAAGGCCGATGGTATTTTCTTTATCGGACTAAGTGATATCTGCTAAACTGTTCAATTTTCTTCAAACTTTTTTGTCTGTACTGGTCTTAATGAGGAAATCTTACGAAAATCATGATTCATATTGAATTAACTGCATAAATTTTATTGGACAATTCTCGCGACAATGTATTGTCCAATAAAAAGTTTTCACCTCACAGGAATTTCATTTCACTTATAAAAAGGATTGTTTGCGAGTTAACTTTAAAAAAAATCTTATTGTACTACATGTGATATAAAACTTTTATCGGACCTCTTTGGACTCAACCTTTTGTTGTAACAATGTAATTAGTCCGATAAACAGTTATTGAATCAATAATTTTTGTCCAAATTTTTTTGGAATACTCTCGATTACGTTTTTATTGGACTTATCCGTTATTGTCCGATGAAAATTATTGGACTCGTATTTCAAGATTTTTATTTTACTATTAACAATGTTTTTTATTGTTCAAGAGCTAAACCCAATAAAACTTATTTTCTCTTTATCAAACTAATAATTTTGTCAGTTTTATCGAACTATAAACACTTTTATTGGACTACTTTCATAAAATTTCAATTTATGTTACTGTGGAGAGTTATTTTACTGCTTCTAAATGTTGACTAATTTAAAGACGGTTTTTTTAAATTCAATCCAACAAAAATTTTATTAGACTAACCTAATACTTTTTTTCCTTCAGTTGGTAAAAGGTCTTTTTTTAATCAATCTGACAAATTTCTAATCAGACTAATGACAATTCATATATGTTTAATCATCTATTATCATATTTTGTTGGATTTTTATTGAACTAATTTTCTCGGAAGTTCTGATGAATCTTTTTGTCTACGTTTTGTCATACTTTTTATTGGATTTTGCTTATTCATACAATGTTTTCTTTTTATTCATTAACGATTAGATAAAAAAAAACTAATAATTTTTAGTAACTTAACTTTATCGAACTATTTATACTTTTATTGGACTATTTTCATAAAATTTACATTTGTCACTCTAGAGAATTATTTTACTACCTCTAAATATTGGTTTTACTGATGTGACTTCTTGAACTAATTCAAAGACATATTTGCTGACCTCAATCCAACAAAATTTTATTGGACTAAATCAATTTTTTTCTCCAATGGTGAAAAGGACGTATTTTATTAATCTAACAGAGTTCCAATGAGATTAAAAATGATTTGTTATTAGTTTAGTTGTCTTTAATCGTAACATATTTTGTTGGACTATACATTTTTATTGGACTAATTGCGTCAGAAGTTCTGACGAATCTTTTTGTCTGAATTTTCATAATTTTTATTGGATTGTACTTATACTTTCTTATTTTTGGTTTTATCGAACTATTTGTACTTTTATTGGACTATTTTCATAAAATTTTCATTTGTTACTCTAGAGAATTATTTTACTACCTCTAAATATTCGTTTTACTGATGTGACTTCTTGAACTAATCCAAAGACATATTTGTCAAACTCAATCCAACAAAATTTTATTGGACTAAATCAATTTTTTTCTCAAAAAAGGACGTCTTTTATTAATCTACAGAGTTCTAATGAGATTAAAAATGATTCTTATAAGTTTAGTTGTGTTTAATCGTAACATATTTTGTTTTGGATTATACATTTTTTTTATTGGACTAATTTCCTCACAAGTTCCGGTGATTAATCTTTTTGTCTGAATTTTCATCATTTTTATTGTATTGCATTTATACATTCTTATTTTAGGAATACTGCATGAATTTCTTATTGGACTTTTCATATAATTGTTCAATAAACGTTCGACTATAACATGTAATGGATTAGCTCCAACGAAACTTGTATTCTCTCTTTTTTATGTTACTAATAATTTTTTATTGACCTGAGCAAATTTTATTGAACAAATTACATGATTTGTTACTTCAGTAAGGCTTATTGGACTAATGGATGATTGTCGATGAGTAAAAGGATAAATTAAACTTTGGCAGTTGTTGAAGTAAAAAAAAGTGGATAATGCAATTTTTTAGTCGATATTGGTGTTTGTACATCAGACTGACGTATTGCCTCGATATTTTTAGATATCCTCAGGACCCCCGCTACCATTCAGATGTTCCAGCAGGTACCAACCCAGGCGGGGCAGAACAGCCCGCTCCTGCAATACTTTGGCATCCTTCTAGATAGAGGACAGTTAAACAGGTTAGAAATATCCGCTTGATCGTTCGAAATAACTAAAAATAATAACATTCCGCTCTTTCTGCCACACAAATCGTTCAAATATTTTAGATACGAATCGTTGGAGCTGTGCAAGCCGGTGCTGCTCCAAGGCCGCAAACAGCTGCTGGAGAAGTGGCTGAAGGAGGAGAAACTCGAATGTTCCGAGGAGCTGGGCGATCTCGTCAAACAGGCCGACCCCATACTGGCCCTTTCCGTGTACCTCAGGGCCAACGTCCCCGCCAAAGTAAGTATCCCCATCGCTTTTCGGCGAGGTCCGTTCACGCTCGCTTCTTCCAGGTGATCCAGAGCTTCGCCGAGACCGGCCAGTTCCAGAAGATCGTCATCTACGCCAAGAAGGTGTCGTACACGCCCGACTACGTCTTCCTGCTGCGCCAGGTGATGCGCACCAACCCGGATCAGGGGGCGGCGTTCGCCGCCATGCTCGTCGCCGACGAGGAGCCCCTCGCCGACATCAACCAGATCGTCGACATCTTCATGGAGCAGAACATGGTGCAGCAGTGCACCGCCTTCCTCCTGGACGCCCTTAAGAACAACAGGCCCACCGAGGGTCACCTGCAGACCCGCCTGTTGGAGATGAACCTGATGTCGGCGCCGCAGGTGGCCGACGCCATCCTTGGCAACAATATGTTCACTCATTACGACCGGGCTCACATCGCCCAGCTTTGCGAGAAGGCGGGGCTCCTGCAGAGGGCCCTGGAGCACTACACGGACTTGTACGACATTAAACGGGCGGTGGTGCACACCCATCTCCTGCCGGCCGAGTGGCTGGTGAGCTTCTTCGGCACGTTGAGCGTCGAGGACAGCCTGGAGTGCCTCAAGGCGATGCTGACGGCCAACATCCGGCAGAACCTCCAGATCTGCGTCCAGATCGCCACGAAATACCACGAGCAGCTTACCACCAAGTCCCTGATCGACCTCTTCGAGAGCTTCAAGAGCTACGAAGGTAAACGGGTGCGTTAGCGGCGCTTCCGGACGTCCCCTCACATATTCTCGCCTTCCAGGTCTCTTCTACTTCCTCGGCTCCATCGTGAACTTCTCGCAGGACCAGGAGGTGCACTTCAAGTACATCCAGGCCGCCTGCAAGACGGGACAGATCAAGGAGGTGGAGCGCATCTGTCGGGAGTCCAACTGCTACAGTCCCGAACGGGTCAAGAACTTCCTGAAGGAGGCTAAGCTGACGGATCAGCTTCCGCTCATAATCGTGTGCGATCGCTTCGATTTCGTCCACGACCTGGTGCTCTACCTCTACAGGAACTCCCTGCAGAAGTACATCGAGATCTACGTGCAGAAAGTCAACCCGAGCCGGCTGCCGGTAAGTTCTTGTAACTGTATCTTGTCGTTGTTTGCGGTTTTCGAGAAAAATATCGCTCGTTGGGAGGTTTTCGTATATTTCGCCTCGTTGTAGGTCGTCGTGGGGGGGCTGTTGGACGTCGACTGTTCCGAGGACATCATCAAAAACCTAATCCTGGTCGTCAGGGGCCAGTTCTCGACCGACGAGCTGGTCGAGGAAGTGGAAAAGCGCAACCGCCTCAAACTCCTACTTCCATGGCTCGAGAGCAGGGTGCACGAGGGCAGCGTCGAACCGGCCACGCACAACGCCCTGGCCAAGATCTACATCGACTCGAACAACAATGCCGAGCGGTTCCTGAAGGAAAACCAATGGTACGCTCGCGGGTTTCCCTCGATACGCTTTTTTTTACGCTCGGTTCTTATTTTCTAGGTACGATTCCCGCGTGGTGGGACGCTACTGCGAGAAGAGAGACCCGCATCTCGCCTGCGTCGCTTACGAACGGGGACAGTGCGACAGGGAGCTCATCGCCGTTTGCAACGAGAATTCGCTGTTCAAGTCCGAGGCACGGTATTTGGTGCGCAGGCGCGATTCGGAGCTTTGGGCCGAAGTTTTACAAGAGGACAACCCTTACAGGTAAACGATTTGTCGTTTTTTTTATTTAGTGCCTTGTTAAAACGCAGAAATGGTGTAGCTGAGCTGTCGTAATTGAATTTTGTGTCGATTTTCACTGAAAGCGGTGTTATATATTATTTTTGTACTTTCCCAGGCGTCAACTCATAGATCAGGTCGTGCAGACGGCCCTGAGCGAAACACAAGATCCTGAAGACATCTCGGTGACCGTAAAGGCCTTCATGACCGCCGATCTACCCAACGAGCTCATCGAACTCTTAGAGAAGATCGTCTTGGACAGCTCCGTCTTCTCCGACCACCGCAACTTGCAGAACCTGCTCATCCTCACAGGTAAGCGGTACTTTTAGCGGTAACGCTCGCTATAACCCGTCGCTAGCGGTAACCGCTCGCTATAACCCGTCGCTAGCGGTAACCGCTCGCTATAACCCGTCGCTTTGCAGCTATAAAGGCCGACGCCACCAGGGTCATGGACTACATCAACCGCCTGGACAACTACGACGCACCCGACATCGCTAACATCGCTATCAACAACCACTTGTACGAGGAAGCATTCGCTATCTTCAAGAAGTTCGACGTCAACACCTCCGCTATACAGGTGCTGATCGAGCAGGTCAACAACCTGGACCGCGCGTACGAGTTCGCCGAACGCTGCAACGAGCCGGCGGTTTGGAGCCAGCTAGCGAAGGCCCAGCTCAACCAGGGCCTGGTCAAGGAAGCGATCGACTCTTACATAAAAGCGGACGACCCGTCCGCTTACATGGCGGTCGTGGAGACCGCCTCCAAGAACAACAGCTGGGAGGACCTCGTCCGCTACCTCCAGATGGCGAGGAAGAAGGCGAGGGAGAGCTACATCGAGTCCGAGCTGATCTACTCGTACGCCAAGACGGGCAGGCTCGCCGACCTCGAGGAGTTCATAAGCGGCCCCAATCACGCCGACATCCAGAAGATCGGCGACAGGTGTTTTGACGACAAGATGTACGACGCGGCGAAGCTCCTCTACAACAACGTGTCCAATTTCGCTCGGCTCGCCATCACCCTGGTGCACCTCAAGGAGTTCCAGGGGGCGGTGGACAGCGCCCGCAAGGCCAACAGCACCAGGACGTGGAAGGAGGTGTGTTTCGCTTGCGTCGACGCTGAGGAGTTCAGGCTGGCGCAGATGTGCGGCATGCACATCGTCGTGCATGCCGACGAGCTGCAGGACCTCATCAACTACTATCAGGATAGGGGTGAGTTGTTTTCTGGGATCGCCGTTACATTTTTTTACGTGAACGTATAAAAAAAGTTGAAGCGGAATAAAATTTTATTGCAGGTGTTAATTTTTTTAGAACGGAACAATGTTTTGAGAATCGCTGTATGCGTAGGTTATCGTTTTTGCATACGCGCGCTAGCGAATTGCGTGTTTGCCAAGCGATTTAAAATTATCTCGGCCAAAATTTGACTTCGTAGTGAAGAAAACCCTAAACGATTGATATATTAATTTTCAGCAAGATACATTTTTTCATAAAGTTTAAAATTGCACAATTTAAGAAGCAATGTGTGTTAAATTACCCAAAAAATAAATTTAACGACAAAATAATTTTAGCAGAAGGTAAAAAAAAAATCTGATGTAGTAGTTCAAACGTCTCAGTTTTAGTAGCAGATTTTTGAAACGACACAACAATTTTAGTAGTTCAAACGTTTCAGTTTTAGTTGCAGATTGTTGAATCAACGAAATAATTTTTAGCAAGACGTTAAGTAGTTCAAACGTCTCGAGTTTAGTAGCAGATTGTTGAAACGACAAAATAATTTTTAGCAGGACGTTACAAATCTGAGGTAGTAGTTCAAATGTCTCGGTTTTCTACTTTAAAACATTTTAACTGATTTTAAGAGCCATTTAAAATTATATTGTGTGGTAATCGCAGCTTAAATTTTAAAATTGCACAATTTACAAAGCAAATATGTTAAATTACCCAAAAAATAAATTTAACGAATAAAATTTAATGACAATATAATTTTAACAGGACCTTATAAAAAATCTGATGTAGTAGTTCAAATGTCTCGGTTCACAGTTCAAATTTTTACTTTGTAGCGAATAATACCCTAAACTGTTGAAAAATTGATTGCAGTAGGATAAATTTGATTATAAAGTTTAAAATTGCACAATTTACGAAGCAAATCTGTTAAATTACCCAAAAAATAAATTTAACGAATAAACGCTTTCATAATTATTGAAAAATAGTATACTAAAGGGATGATCCTGTATTTCACCGTTAAAATTAAAAGCGTTGTAAAGTTTCAATCTTTAACAGACCCATTTAATATTAATTATGAATTGTGTACGTAAAAATGTAACGACAAAATAATTTTAGCAGGACGTTAAAACATTTGATGTAGTAGGTCAAACATCCCAGTTTTAGTTGCAGATTGTTGGAACGACAAAATAATTTTTAACAGGACGTTGAAAATCTGATGTAGTAGTTCAAATGTCTCGGTTCACAGTTCAACTTTTTACTTTGTAGCGAATAATACCCTAAACTATTGAAAAATTGATTGCAGCAGGATAAATTTGATTATTAAGTTTAAAATTGCACAATTTACGAAGCAAATCTGTTAAATTAGCCAAAATATAAATTTAACCAATAAACGCTTTCATAATTATTGAAAAATAGGATACTAAAGGGGTGATCCTGTATTTCACCGTTAAAATTAAAAGCGTGGTAAAGTTTCAATCTTTAACAGACCTATTTAATATTAATTGTGAATTTCTATTATGTAAAAATTTAATAAAATAATTTTTGCAGGATGTTAAAAAAAAATCTGACGTAGTAGATCAAACGTCCCAGTTTTAATTACAGATTGTTGGAATGACAAAATAATTTTTAACAGAAAGTTAAAATTTGTTGTAGTAGTTCAAACGTCTCGGTTTTCTACTTTAAAACATTTTAACTGATTTTAAGAGCGGTTTAAAATTATATTATGTGGTAATCGCAACTCAAATAATCACTTTGTAGCGAATAAAACCCTAAATGATTGACAAATTGATTTCAGCAAGATAAATTTTATTATATAGTTTAAAATTGAACAATTTACAAAGCAAATCTGTTAAATTACCCAAAAAAATAAATATAACGAGTAAAATTTAATGACAAAATAATTTTAGCAGGACCTTAAATAAATTTTTATGTAGTAGTTCAAATGTCTCAGTTTTAGTAGCAGATTGTTGGAATAACAATAATTTTAGCAGGACATTAAGTAGTTCAAACGTCTCGATTTTAGTAGTAGATTGTTGAAACGACGAAATAACTTAGCAGGATGTTAAAATCTAATGTAGTAGTTCAAATGTCTCGGTTCACAGTTCAAAATTTTACTTTGTAGCAAATAAAACCCTAAACTGTTGAAAAATTGATTGCAGCAGGATAAATTTGATTATAAAATTTAAAATTGCCCAATTTACGAAGCAAATCTGTTAAATTACCTAGAAAATAAATTTAACGAATAAACACTCATAATTGTTGAATAATAGGATACTAAAGGGGTGATTCTGTATTTCACCGTTAAAATTAAAAATTTTTGATGTAGTAGTTCAAATGTACCAGTTTTAGTTGCAGATTATTGGAAAGACAAAATAATTTTTAGCAGGACGTTACAAATCTGATGTAGTTCAAATGTCTCAGTTTTCTACTTTAAAACATTTTAACTGATTTTAAGAGCGATTTAAAATTATATTGTGTGGTAATCGCAGCTCAAATTTTTACTTTGTACCGAATAAAACCCTAAACTGTTGAAAAATTGATAGCAGCAGGATAAATTTGATTATAAAGTTTAAAATTGCACAATTTAAAAAGCAAGTCGATTAAATTACGTTTAGTCAATGACTAAAGTCAAACTAAAGTTGTCCTAATATTAAATTGAAATTGAGAAATACTATTTTAATTCTATACAGGTATGCCTTTAATAAAATAGTACAGATCTGAGGTGTCAAAGCATTGACTTCTCGTTTACTACAATGCGCCCCTTCAAAATCATGTGAAATTTGAGTAACGGCACACAGACAATATCACAATATATGCTAATGTTGACATATTTGTGGCGATTTGTTATTTTCGCGGACGGTGCCTGTCTTTTAAGTATATTTATATAGCTTTAAGCATATTTAATCACTACTAGAAAGGTAGGCAAGTCCGATGATCCGGACTTGACCTTTCTCTCGGGCATCTTAATTTTGAATTTGCCTCTTTTTATTCACACTTTTTTCTCTGTATATATTTGCGACGTTTCAATTTCTCAGGTTACTTCGAGGAACTTATCGGACTGCTGGAGGCGGCCCTGGGCTTGGAACGCGCCCACATGGGCATGTTTACGGAATTGGCCATCTTATACTCCAAATACAAGCCGGCGAAGATGCGCGAACACTTGGAACTGTTCTGGTCCCGTGTCAACATACCCAAGGTCCTCAAAGCCGCCGAACAAGTAAGTACCGCCCGAAAACCACGTCGGTAGTTCTCAAAAGTCGCATTTTTTTAACGAATGATCCCCGTTAGGCGCACTTGTGGGCGGAACTGGTGTTCCTCTACGACAAATACGAGGAGTACGACAACGCGGTGCTCGCCATGATGGCCCACCCGACGGAGGCGTGGCGCGAGGGTCACTTCAAGGACATCATCACCAAGGTGGCCAATATTGAGTTGTACTACAAGGCCATCCAGTTCTATCTCGACTACAAACCGTTGCTGCTGAACGACTTGCTGCTGGTGCTGGCCCCGCGCATGGATCACACCCGGTGAGTGTCCGACGTTAGCATCGTTTCTCAATGATTATTTAATTTTTCTCCAGTGCCGTGTCTTTCTTCTCCAAGACGGGACACCTGCAGCTAGTCAAGTCCTACCTCCGCTCGGTACAAAACCTGAACAACAAAGCGATCAACGAGGCTCTCAACTCGCTACTCATAGAGGAGGAAGATTTCCAGGTACTTATTCTTCTGAATCGCTCTTTTTTCCCTGCTAATACTTCTCTCGCAGGGCCTGAGGACCTCGATAGACGCCTTCGACAATTTCGATAACATCGGGCTGGCGCAGCGGCTCGAGAAGCACGAACTGACGGAATTCCGTCGCATCGCCGCCTACCTCTACAAGGGCAACAACAGGTGGAAGCAGAGCGTCGAGCTGTGCAAGAAGGACAGGCTCTTCCGCGACGCCATGGAGTACACGGCGGAGTCGAGGAACCAGGAGCTGGCCGAAGAACTGTTGGCGTGGTTCCTGGAGAGGGAGGCGTTCGACTGCTTCGCCGCCTGCTTGTATCAGGTAATTTTCTATATCGTCGATGAATAGGGGGTTTGTATCTAGCCTGGACGCCGAGGAGAAACTGTTTTGGAGGTTACGTTAGTCGAGCTTTAAATATTCGTGGTGGAGTAGATCAAATGAACTGTAGGCATGAGTTTTTCTAGGTTATGTTGTCTTGTTTGTTAGTGTATTAACGAACAGATGAATAAAATTTCGGATGATTCATGGAACGAAATTAAGCTGGATATTAAGGAGCTAATGAAAAATCTTACAAAAGGTGTTTGTATTAAATATTTTCGAGGGAAAAAAACATATGTCGCAACAGTGTTTTGCAACCATGTTTTTCTTTCAAACTTGAGTAAATATTGTATTTAATTTCACGGTCAAACATTAATTATTTAACATCTATTTCATGTAGATCAAATGTACCGTAGGTATGAGATTTCCGTAGGTCCTATTATGTTTTGTTTGTTTGGTTATTGACGTAAGAGGTAAATAAAATTTCAAATGATTAATGGGATGAAATTAAGAGGGCTCTATAGCAAATAGGCAACCAGCAATACAGTTTTATGGATTTTATTACACAAGTTTGTCTAAATATGAATCAATGCACAGATAACGGACTTTCCTCCATTCTATCGCGGATTTCTTATAAAATGGAGTTAGTTTGAAACTCAAATTACATTTTGTTGTAAAAAAGATGGAATTTGCTGCTTTTGAATCGTAAATTACAAATTTCTTCACAACAAAAAGTATTTTGAGTTTCAAACTAACTCCATTTTATAGGAAATCTGCGTTAGAATGGAGGAAAGTCTGTTATTTGTGCATTGATTCATATTTAAACAAACTGTGTAATAAAATCAATAAAAATGTATTGTTGGTTGCCTATTTGCTAGAGCACTCTTAAGCTTGATATTAAAGATCATTAGAAATCTTACGAGTCATTTATATTAAATATTTCCGAGTGGAAGAAAAAATTAGTATACCACGAAAATATTTTGCAACCTCGTTTTCCTTTAAAATTCTAGTAGACTGTAATTTTTTAAGTTCATGATCAGACATTAAATATTTGGCGTTTATTTTATGCGGTAGTTCAAATGAACCGCTGCACGAGATAATTCTAGGTTATATTATGTTTTGTTAGGATTCGACGTACAGAGATGAATAAAAATTCAAATGATTAATGAAAAAATCAACCTTGATCTTTCCCAGGGAAAAAACATTTATTATGTGACGACAGTATTTTGCAACGCCACTTTTTTTCAAATTTTAAGAGGTTATTTTTTAATTTCACTCAAACGTTAAATATTTGAGATTTATTTTATGCAGTAGTTCAAATGAACAGCTGCATGAGATTATTCTAGGTTATATTACGTTTTGTTAGGATTTGACGTACACAGAGATAAATAAAAATTCAAATGATTAATGAAATAAAATCAATCTCTCCCAGGGAAATAACATTTAATATATCGGCAGTATTTTGCAACCACGCTTTTCTTTCAAATTCTAATAGGTTATTTTTTAATTTCACTCAAACGTTAAATATTTGAGATTTATTTTATGCAGTAGTTCAAATGAACCGCTGCGTGAGATTATTCTAGGTTATATTACGTTTTGTTAGGATTCGACGTACAGAGATGAATAAAATTTCAAATGATTAATGAAATAAAATCAAGCTTGATCTTTCCCAGGGAAAAAAAACAGGACAGTATTTTGCAACCACGTTTTTCTTTCAAATTTTAATAGGTTATTTTTTAATTTCACTCAAACGTTAAATATTTGATATTTATTTTATGTAGTAGTTCAAATTAACTGTAGGCATACGATTTTTCTAGTTTATAAGATGTTTCAATCTGTTTTACCTCTTGTTTTACTTATTTGTTTGTTGGGATATTAACATATAGATAAAAAAAATTAAGTGATCACCACAACGATGAACGTCTTTAAGAGGGCTCAATAGCAAATAGCCAACCAGCAATACCTTTTAATAGATTTTGTTACACAGTTTGTCTAAATATAGGCCAATGCCCAAATAACGGACTTTCCCCCATTTTAATGCAGATTTTGTATAAAATGAACTTGGTTTGAAACTCAAATAACTTTTTAGTGTAAAGAAATTTGGAATATACGATGCCAAAAGGGGCAAATTATAAATTTCTTTACAACAAAAAACAATTTGTTTCAAACTAACTCCATTTTATAGAAAAAATGTGTTAGAATGGTGGAAAGTCTGTTATTTGTGCATTGATTCATATTTAGACAAACTGTGTAATAAAATCTATAAAAATGTGTTGCTAGTCCCCTATTTGCTATAGCACACTCTTAAGCTTGATATTAAAGTTCATTAAGAAATCTTACAAGTCATTTATATTAAATATTTCTGAGTGGAAAAAAAATTTGTATACCACGAAAGTATTTTGCAACCTCGTTTTCCTTTAAAATCCTAGTAGATTGTAATTTTTTAAATTCGTGATCAAACATTAAATATTTGGCGTTTATTTTATGCGGTAGTTCAAATGAACCGCTGCATGAGATTATTCTAGGTTATATTACTTTTTGTTAGGATTCAACGTACAGAGATGAATAAAATTTCAATTGATTAATGAAATAAAATCAAGCTTGATTTTCCCAGGGAAAAACATTTATTATGTGACGACAGTATTTTGCAACGCCGCTTTTTTTCAAATTTTAAGAGGTTATTTTTTAATTTCACTCAAACGTTAAATATTTGAGATTTATTTTATGCAGTAGTTCAAATGAACCGCTGCATGAGATTATTCTAGGTTATATTGCGTTTTGTTAGGATTCGACGTACAGAGATGAATAAAATTTCAAATGATTAATGAAATAAAATCAAGCTTGATCTTTCCCAGGGAAAAAAACATAGGACAGTATTTTGCAACCATGTTTTTCTTTCAAATTTTAATAGGTTATTTTTTAATTTCACTCAAACCTTAAATATTTGATATTTATTTTATGTAGTAGTTCAAATTAACTGTAGGCATACGATTTTTCTAGTTTATAAGATGTTTCAATCTGTTTTACTCTCTTGTTTTACTTATTTGTTTGTTGGGATATTAACATATAGATAAAAAAAATTTAAGTGATCACCACAACGATGAACGTCTTTAAGAGGGCTCAATAGCAAATAGCCAACCAGCAATACCTTTTAATAGATTTTGTTACACAGTTTGTCTAAATATGGGTCAATGCACAAATAACGGACTTTCCCCCATTTTAATGCAGATTTTGTATAAAATAGAATTGGTTTGAAACTCAAATAACTGTTACAGCGTCCACACTCGGTACATATTTTATGTACTAGTAACATAATTTCGTACAAGGTACATATTGGTTACATATTTTTAAGAAAAATGCATAAAGTACATTTTTTTTAAAATGTAAGTTTTTCTGAAGCCGGTTCTGTGGAATTTGTCGATTGCGTTGTTGCGCCAATCGGCTATGCTCGGGAATCTCGGCCGTATTAACTCTAGTGCAGTAAACGGGTTGCTCTTGCACGTGCGTATTCTAAGAGTAAGAAGCATCAAATTCTCCATCTTTCTCTATAACATTTATATTAGAGGGATAGAGAGAGACAAGCTATAATGTGTGTTGTGTATGTGTACCAAATTTAAATCTTATTTGGAATTATAACTTTGTTGTTTTACTTGTCTTGCGTTTCGTTTCCTACATTACACAAAAAATGAAATAAGTGGAAGTGCAGGAGAAGAGTTATATATTATTGGATAATATTTTTGATGTGTGAGTTAGTGTAATGTGAGATTTTGTTGTTTGTTTTATTATGTGTACATTTTATTGTAGTAAAACGAGTTAAAATGGGACCTTGTAGATTTAATAGTAAATGGTTGAAAGAAAAAGACGGTAATGGCGCAATTATTGGAAAGTATCTCTCTGAAGTTAAGAATGTTAACAGCAATGCTCTTTGCAATGCCTGTGGTAGAGAATTCTCTATAATTAGAGGAATTGCTTCTATAAATCAGCATGCAAATGGGGATAAACATAAGCAAAAATATAAATGTAAATATGGAAAATCGCAGACTCATTTACAAGAAAATACTTTAGAAGTGTTTGTAGAAAAAGACAAAATATGTCAAATAGAGATTTTATTCACATTAAGAACTGTCTTACACAATTATTCGTTGGAATCTTCAAAAGACTTAAAAAATGTTCTACTAGCTTGTTTTCCGGAGTGTGGTTATTTAAACAATTTTTCTATGTCTCCAACAAAAATGAAATATATTATCACCCATGGACTAGGACCTTACTTTCAAAAATTTTTAAAAGATGATATACATGGTAAGTTTTAAGATGTATGGGATTATTTTTAGAGATTTAACCTGTTAATAACAAATAATATAAAAGGAGGTAATAATACTAATAGGCGAAGGTATCTGTATTTCAAAATAATGGTCGTCAAAAAGAGCTAAAGTACTGATTTAAAAAAATATTTCGAGGAACAATTATTTTTAATATGGTTTCATTTTATTTTGCTCTATTTTCAAGTAGCTGTAAAATATTTATTGATTATATTATAAAAAAACACTGTCTAGATATATCTTAGCTGTAAAAGTTGAATAACAATAAAACAGTTTGATATCTTTCACGAAACTGGCGCATTACCTATTCAGTGTGTTGGGGAACTTAGGTAATTTAGAATAAGCAGGTACCTAATGTCAAAATAATATCGACACTTAATACAAGCCTTCGTTAATAAGGTACGGGTCTCTAAAAGTTTTTTTTTAAATTATTTTGCTATAACATTTTACAGTCGAACAATTTTTTTTTTTCTCAAATTTGGTACCGTACTGCACTTATCAAAAACAATAAAAAAAAAACAAAATCCTGAAACCCTAAGGATTTTATACTTTTGTAAATATTACTTAATACCTACTACTAAATTCATTTTTGATTATATTGATTATTTTACAAATATTGTGAAATTTAAAATTAATTGTAATAATTTAGTGCACATTTGAACGAAAATTATTGTCCCAAAACATTAAATAAATACTTTATAATCCCCTTAATTATTTAAAGAACAGCCATAAAAAGTATATCAAAATTAGTCAATTGAAAGAAAGTTCCAGCAAAATACTAATTAAAAATATAAATTGATAGGCTGGTAACTTGGAAACGGAGACCCATATGACAAATCTTTACATGAAGTGCTGAAATTATTTTGGTTAATTAAGTATTTACTGTAATGGAAAACACTCAAATTCTCACAAAATTTTTTCTTAACTTCTCCCCATCCCCCTTTTTTTTGAAAGTGTTAAATACGAATAGGTATAGTTATTTTTGTGCGGTCAAGTCTAGTTTTCGAGTAAAAAAATATTTAAAATTAATCTGTTACTAGGTACAACTCTGATTATCACAGTAGGACAATACTATACTGTCATAGATCATTTAAAACATATGTAATTTAGAGATGTAATAATTCTTGGGACATATATTTAAATATAATAATAGAAATTTAAAATAAAAATGTATTTATTACTCAAAATTTTGATTCATTCATATCTATCGAATGACAAACAATATGTATATGTATTCGACATGAAATTGTTTTCATGGCATATTATGCAAATAGCCATATTCAATCAGACAACTGTAACCATTTCTTCATATTTTCAAAAAATATTTTAAAAGAAATAAAGTTTTATATGTTTAAACTAATCATAAAAATTTTTTAGGTGGTTATTTTACACTTGTTTATGATGAAACAACAAACAAAGGGTGTAAGAAAGAATTACAAATAAAAATAAGATTTTGGTCCACAATTAAAAATGAAATTGTATCTGCCCATTTGCGTACTTACTTTTTGGAGCATGCAACAGCAAATGATTTGTTGAATAAAATCAATGAAGTTATCGATAGTTATGATTTGCCCAAAGAGAAACTACTTATGCTTGGTAGCGATGGTCCTTATGTAAATAAAAAAGTTTCAAGAGTAATGAGTGAACAATTAAAATGTTTGAGGTCTAAGCCTCTTGTGGATGTGGGTACATGTACCATCCATATTGTTCATAATGCGTTCCTGAAGGGACTAGAAGTTTTTGGCGAAGATGTAGGACAACTCCTTCTTTCCATAAAGTATTTTTTCAAAGATCGCCCAAGTCGCTGGACCGATTATGAGCAAATTCAAGAAAAAGTATGTGTTCCAAAAAACCACTTCTTAAAACATGTATCTACGAGATGGTTGACAATAGAATCTGCAGCAATGAGACTTATTCAACAATGGCCGGCTGTAATGGAATATTTTATGACATATATTCCCAGAAAATGTACTGCAATAGAACGGACAAATAATTATAAAACTATTAAACAACTGTTATCCAAGAAAACTGTCAAGGTTGAAATTATGTTTATAATTTCTAGCTCCAAAATTTTTACAAAATTTACCAGTATGTTTCAAAAGCAGGAGCCATTAATTCATATTTTATATGATGAACTGCAAACGATACTATTTACTATTGTAAACCGCGCTTGTAAAAAAGATATGATTGATACCATTGTTCATAGTATGAACGAAAATATTTTTTCTTTAGACATTTTTGAAAGAGATAATCAGAAAAGTTCAAATAATTATAAAGAAATTTTAGGATCAGAAATTTGTGTAGAATTTGAAAAGTTAAAAATTTCTGAAGACGAGAGACTAATTTTTTGTCACAATGTTAAACGACATTTTATTGAAGCAGGTAGTCATATAATTAAAAAAATTTTTCAGACTGATGTCTCAAATTTTCTAAAAGCTCTTTCATGTTTAAATCCAAAAAATATAAATAAATCTAATGTAGGAGATATCTTAAAAATTTGTGAAACGTTACCGCATAATTTGGACTCATTAATAGTCGCTGATGAATGGAACTTATTAAAAACTGAAAATTTAGAATATAAATCTCTGCAAATTGATCATTACTGGTCAAACATTTTCCAGTTAACATCTGTAAGTAATTTACTAAAATATCCATCACTATCATTGATAGTAAAGTCATGTTTATGTCTTTCCCATGGCAGCGCCGATGTAGAACGAGGTTTTTCTATTTCTGGTAGAATCATGACTAGAGATCGAAATAAATTGTCAGAATTAAGTTTAAACGCTATATTAATAATATCAGATCATATATCAGTATACGCAGAGGGTGAAATACAAAAGGTAAATATTAATAAAGAACTTTTAAATATGACAAGAGCAGCTCGTAAATCATACTTATCATATGTTCAGCAAGAAAAACAAAAGGATGAAGCACATGCAAAATTAATGATTGAAAAGGAAAAAGAAAATCAAAGAAAACAAGCGGAAGAACTCCAGAAACGAAATAATAGACAGAAAATTGGTGAGCTTGAAAACAAACTGAAAGAAATAACTAAGCTTCAGCAGGAGAAGGGCCAAGCATCGGTTAGCTTGTTACAGGAAGCTCAGTGTAAATTAAACAGTGCAATAAAAAAATCGAATCTTGTGGAAGCAAATATAGCACAGGGGTTAATGAGTGCTGCCCATACGTTAGCTGATGAGAGTCAAATTTATGAAACACAGGCCGTGAAAATTCAAAAACAAATTAACAAAAGAAAATCGGATTTATTAGATTATTATACTTCGAAATCAAAAAAGACTTGTATGTAAAATCCATTGTTCCTATTTATGTTATAACAGTTAGTTATTAAAATTAATATATGCATATATTCTGTTTTAATATTTTTTACATCATTCCAAGGAATTTCTGACAGCTAAACAATTTTTAATCTATAAATTTAACAATGCCATGTCACTTAATCACAATTAACGACTGTCAGATATCATTAGTAAGTATATAATTTAGTTACATATTTTAAGAATATTTTCATAAAAAGTTACATATTTAAGAAGAAAAAAGTACATATAAATTTCATAATTGGTTTGGTAATAAGTTTGGACGCTGCTGTTAGAAAATGTAGTGTAAAGAAATTTGGAATTTACGATGCCAAAAGAGGCAAATTATAAATTTCTTTACAACAAAAAGCAATTTGAGTTTCAAACTAACTCCATTTTATAGAAAAAATGTGTTAGAATGGAGGAAAGTCTGTTATTTGTGCATTGATTCATATTTAGACAAACTGTGTAACAAAATCTATTAAAAAGTATTGCTAGGTTGTCTATTCGCTATAGTCCTCTCAAATGAAAGAAATCTTTAGGTCAAACGTACTGTAGGCATGAGCTTTTCTAGGCTACGGAAGATGTTCATTAATTTGTTTTCTACTTTTTTTTTTCGCAGTGTTACGATTTGCTACGGCCCGACGTCATCCTAGAGCTGTCCTGGAGACACAACATCATGGACTTTGCGATGCCCTACCTAATCCAAGTGACGAGAGAGCTAACCACCAAGGTGGAGAAGCTGGAACAGTCGGACGCGCAGAGGCAGAGCGAAGCGGCCGAGGAGACCAACAAACCCATGATGATCCCCGAGCCCCAGCTAATGCTGACCGCCGGTCCAGGAATGGGTGAGTAGTGATGCGTTAGTGACCGTCTAGATTGCCACACCTGGCTTCTTTGGATTTTTCTTGTGAGCTTCCCGTTTGTAGGAATCCCACCGCAGCAGTACGTCCCGCCACAGGCTTACGCCCAGCCCGCCTACCCGCCCCAGATGCCCTACCAGGCCTACCCAGGGATGTAATATAGGGCCCCGTTCTCGGGCAACGCGCGTAGCCAAATTAAGTTATGATTTCTTTTTCCCCATTTAGCCGACGGGACGGGAGAGGGAGAAAGTCGCCCGCATATTATTCTAAACAAAAATATAGATGTGCAAATCGTTACGTAAATTCGACGCGGTGTTCGACGCTTCGAATTTACGATCAATTACAAAAATATTGTAGGGAATTTACAAAAAAAAAAAAAATCGCCTAAGTGTAGTTGGAATTTGCAGATTTTTCACCAGTTGTTGATGTATCGTTGTTTTATCGTCCCATAGCACTACGGTTTTTAGTTTTCGTCCATTTCTGTGTCCGTTAAAGTTGAAATTTACGTTCGCTTTGAGAATTGTACATAATACAAGGCTAATTATTCACTACTTGTATGTATATAACCTAGAAATTCTATGAAGGAGGAGATCGTACGCTGTCCGTTTTCATTTACTATTACTTTTTTTTTTAGTTATTAGTGTTATCATTCCTTTTTATTTAATATTAGATATGTATGTATATGCCGATAATGTTTATTAACTTATATCATTAAATGAATTACGTGCGAACGCAGTTTACCAGCGTCCGCCTCGGATTTATTATTTTTTTAATGATCTTGTATCGCACCGGTTTTTTGTTCTTCAGACCGACGGTGGCGTTGGTAAATTGTTGCTGAAAGTGTAACACCTTTTTTATTGATAGGTAATTATAGTTATTTTTCCTATTATTATGAAATAAAGCTAAAATAAAGAGATTATTGAAGCTATCCGATGCCTTATTTTTTCCAGAGTGAATTTTTGTGAAATTTTCCCAGATAAAAAAATTTGTTCAAATGTCCCGTGCAGTTATTGGAGGTATCCAAGCATGATTTTATGAACAATTTTAGTTCCTTCTTTTTTTAATGTAGACTAGTAGTTCAAATGTCCCGAACTTAATTTTAGAGGAAAATTGACTGGCAGGAGCCATAATTTGTTCATTCAAATTTTTTAACTTCTATGTACTGAATAACTGTCACGTGAAAATTTTAATTTTTGTAACGAAAATTTTGATAAAAATTTACCGATATGACATGCTAAAGTGATTCATATTAATACGAAATATAGTTAAAACAATTTTCTCATTTTCAAAGGAGATAAACAAAAAGTAGTTCAAATGTCCCGAGATCAATTCTTAAGAAAAATTTAATGGCGAAAGCTGCATATCTATCTTGTCCTTTTAATTTTTTGGCAGCTAACTTTCACAAATGAAAATTATTTCTGTAATGAAAATTTTGATAAAAATTTACCAATATGACATGCAAAAGTGATTCATATTAATATGAAATAGTTAAAACAATTTTTTCTCATTTCCAAAGGAGATAAAACACTTCTCATTTTCAAAGGAGGTAAACAAAAAGTAGTTCAAATGTCCCGAGATCAATTCTTGAGAAAAATTTAATGGCAAATACTGCAGATCTGTATCTTATCCATCTAATTATTAGTCAGCTATTTATCACGTATGAAAATTTTTATTTTTGTAAAAAAAAATTTGACAAAAATTTACTGATATCGCCACTCAATAATATTAGATTTCGAGTCATATGCAGAAGCAATTCCTATTAATATGAATTAAAGTAAAATGACTTTTTCTCCTTTTCAACGGAGATAAACAAAAAGTAGTTCAAATGTCCCGAGATCAATTCTCGATAAAAATTTAATGGCGAAAACTGCATATCTGTATCTTGACCTTTCAATTTTTTGGCGGCTAATTTTCACATGAAAATTTTTATTTCTGTAGAGAAAGTTTTGATAAAAATTTACTGATATTGCTTCTGTATAATATTAGATTCTGTCAAGTGACATGCGGAAGCTATTTCTATTAGTATGAAATAAAGTTAAAACAATTTTGTTTCATTTTTAAAGGATAAACAAAAAGTAGTTCAAATGTCCCGAGATAAATTCCTGAGGAAAATTTAATGGCGGGAACTGCATATTTGTATCTTGTCCTTTTCATTTTTGGCAGCTAATTTTCATGTATGAAATTTTTATTTTTGTAAAGAAAATTTTGATAAAAATTTACTGACATTGCTTTTGAATATTAGATTTTGGCAAGTGACATGTGGAAGCGATTCCTATTAGTATGAAATAAAGTTAAAAAAAATTCTCATTTTCAAGGGAGATAAACAAAAAGTAGTTCAAATGTCCCGAGATCAATTCCTGAGAAAAATTTAATGGTAAAAACTGTATATTTGTATCTTGTCCTTTTAATTTTTTGGCAACTAATTTTCACGTATGAAAATTTTTATTTCTGTAACGAAAATTTAGATAAAAGTTTACTGAAATCGCTTCTGCATAATATTAGATTTCAGCAAGTGACATGCGGAAGCGATTCCTGTTAGTATTAAATAAAGTTAAAATAAATATATTTTTTTTCATTTTCAAAGGAGATAAACAAAAAGTAGTTCAAATGTCCCGATATCAATTCTCGAGAAAAATTTAATGGTAAAAACTGCATATCTGTATCTTGTCTTTTTAATGTTTGTACAGCTAATTTTCACGTATGAAAATTTAATATGTCTAACAAATTTAGATAAAAATTTACTAATATGGCTTCTGTATATTAGATTTCGGCAAGTGACAAACGATTCCTATTATGAAATAAAACCAAAATAAATGTCTCATTTTCCAAGTGATAAACAAAAAGTAGTTCAAATGTCCCAAACTGAATTTTTGAGAAATGTTAAATGGCAGGAACCGTATATCTATATCTAAGATTTTAAAAAAATATTTTGACGTTTTTTATTATATAGCTCATATATGAAAATTTTTCTTTTGAGTAAAAAAAATTGACCAATATCGCTTGTGCATAATAGATTTTGACTTGTGACATGCGGAATGGTTCCTGATGTGAAATAAAGCCAAAATAATTTGTTCTCATTTACCAAGGTGATAAACAAAAAGTAATTCAAATGTCCCAAACTCAATTTTTGAGAACTAATTTTTTGGCATATATTTTCACGTCAATTTTTATTTCTGCAATGAAAATTTTAATAAAAATAATATTAGATTTTGCCAAGTCCCATGCGAAAGAGATTCCTATTAAAATAAACTATTTTTTTCATTTTCAAAGGAGATAAACAAAAAGTAGTTCAAATGATCCGAGATAAATTCTTGAGAAAAAATTATTGGTGAAAACTACATATCCGTATCTTAAGTCTAAGGATCTAAAATAGACCCTCCAAAGCTGCTTCCTTAAAATTATTTTTTATTGCTAATTTTAAATTTCTCCGCCATGCCTGCATTTTCACTAAAATTGAAATATCTCACAAACTGTACGTCCTAGGTATGCAGAACCTTAATAAAGTTCACCTATTTTTTACGGTGCTTTCAAAAATGCAGTAAAATATAGGGTGTTCCATTTAAAAAAGCATAACTTTGATATGATACGCTTTTCCTGGACACCCTGTATATTTCAAAATATTTTTAAAATGTAGCCGTAATCAACCTACACATACCCATTTAAACAGGTTTCTGTAACATTTGCTGTTTGGTCACTAGCGACCGAGGCGTTACTGGTGGCCCACCCTGTATAAAAATTTTCTTTAAATAATCTTTTTATAAAATATTACTGATACCACTTCTGTATATTAGATTTCGGCAAGTGACATGTGAAAACATAAATTATTATCACTTCCCAAGGAGGTAAACAATAAGTAGTTCAAATGTCTTGAACTCAATTTCTGAGAAAAGTTGAATGGCAGGAGCCGCATATCTGTTTTTTTTTAATATTTTGAGGTTTTCAATTGTAGAACCTTCATATACTATTAAAAATTTTCTTTTAAATAAAGAAATTTTTACAAAAATTGAACGATATTGCTTGTGTATAATCCTTAGAGTTCGGCAAGTGACATGCGAAAACGATTCCTATTAAAAAAAAAAACAAAATAATTTTCTCAATTTCAAAGGAGATAAACGAAAAGTGGTTCAAATGTCCTGAACTCAATTTTTGGGAGGTTGAATGGCAGAAGCCACATATTGATTTCCTTAAAATATTTTGACAATTTCTATTATATTATTTTATAATGAAATATTTTTTTGAGTAGATAATTAATTTTGAGAAAATTTGACCAATATTGTTTCTCTCCCTATCTCTTTAAATTTCGGCAAATGACATGCGGAAACAATTCCTATTGTCAAAAAAAAAGTAAGATAATTTTTTTTTTCATTTTTCAAGGAGATAAACAGAAGTTAGTTGAAATGTCCCAAACTCATTTTCTGAGAAAAGATGAATAGCAGCAACCGCAATTTTTACATATGTACAGGGCGAACCAATATCGACGGGTTGTCCCATATTTTCCAGGGAGGTAAAAAGTAGTTCAAATGTCCCAAGCTCTATTTTTAACAAGAACTGAACTGCATCTCTATATTCTAAGCCTTTTTTCATGTTTAGACGTTGATTGTATTGAAAATTTTTATTTTTATAAAGAAAACGAGATAGATGAGTAGTTCAAATGTCCTGGGCTCGAATATTGACAAATTTGAATGGCGATAACTCCGTCTTTACGTCCAAGGTATTTTCCATCCTCGGAAAATTTTGAGGCTGAATAAGTTGTCCATATACGACAATTTTTATTTTGTAGAAATTTTGACAAGAATTTGTATATATCTTTACAGATGTACAGGGTGGACAATCTCAACGTTTTTGGTGTGTTTTCTGCATTTTCCAAAGAGATAAATAAAAAGTAGTTCAAATGTCCCCAGCTCGATTTTTGAGGAAAATTGAAGGGAGCGGACTGTCACTCATTTTTCATGCAGAATAATTTTATCAATACGAAAATTTTTTATTTCCGTAAAGAAAACTGCCGAGAATTCACTGATACCGCTTCTGTATAATCTCCCTAGATTTCGGCAGGTGACAAGCGGAAACGTTGTGCAGCCTGTCTTCCGTGCCTTCCACGTCCTGCCTCTTGACGATCTTCTCCTGGATCTTGTTCTTATCGGAGGCAAACTGCAGTTTGTCGATGACGTCGCTCACCAGTTCGTGCTCGATGCACCTACAAACAAAGCAAACGTTTTCGTTCCTTGAAAATTCGCATTTGCCGGCTTACAGCGGACAGGGATTGGTCAGCGCGATCTTTTCTATCGGTTCGATTGTAGGCGGCGTGCTCTGCTCTGGTATGGTGAGCTGGTCATGGCGGATCCTCTTCTTCTTCAGCTGTAACAGAAAAAGTCCGTTACCGACAAGTTCTGGCACAAATTAATAGTGAAAACGAACACCCAAGAGATGGCGCTGTCTTCGTTCGATTCATAAGGGATCTGGGCATAATTTTGGACTTTCTAGTTATATTCCAGTCAGTACATGAAACAGCCTGTTTCGGGAAAAAAATACTATTAGAAATTTATCTGCGGAATATTGTTCGGAAACGTGTTATAAACAAAATATCAAAAAATCAACTCCAGACTTGTTGGGAAACTTTGTTTAAACAATGGTCAAAGTTATGGAAAAGTGGTTTTTTGACTCGCGTAAAAAACTATTATTCATAGCCAAAAAAAAGTTTATACAAAAAAGGTAGGTATTAAATACGCCTATAAAATGAGACAAGTCCGATTAAATTCCGATAATTTGTTTATGCGCAAGAGCTCAAAAATGGTCGAAAATGGCTGTTTCTTTCAATTGCTAATCATTAATGCAATTTTTTTCGCAGACACTTGTAATTCAGGAGTTTTGAGGCTTTTTACACCCGAAAAGGTAAAAATTTCAACCCGAAAGCTTCAATGATTTGGCGTTGGCGGAATTTGTTATCTAAGAAGATGCTATTTTCAATTCATTTTTCCCAAGCTCAAAGGCGTTGTATAGTTTCGAACATTAGTTGTTTGTGTACCTAAATAGTTATATTAACATATTACACCAGGAAAATGAGTGAAAATAAAAGAGAAATTCTAAAAAAGTCCTATCCGCTAGATTATAGCAAATAGTACCAGGCATTACAGTAGGATCACCCTCAAAAACTGACGGTAAGAATATACCATAATAAAAAGGTGTGGATCGTGTTGGTGAATCAGATTATGGTTCGTGCCGCAAAAAAAAAGTCAGCGTTAATTTTTTATAAGCAAAAAAACAGGTGAAAAAACAGGTTTTATTAATTTTTAATATAGAACTTCTGCATTTAAAACAATGTAATTTCTACAAGATATCGGCGCTAAAAAGCCCTTTAATTTGAATGGTCGCACGTCAAATTCGAATAAATAGTTATTGAGTTATTGCAAAAAAAACCACTAAAATAAGCCATTTGTTAATTATTTAATACCTTTAACAATTTGCAAAATATCAATTTCTACAATTGTGTAAGCACCTTTTTATCACGGAATATTCTTACCGTCAGTTTATGTTCATTTTGGACCATTCTGTTGCCAGAATGCCTGTACTAAAAATTGTCTAAAGGAACATAATACAAGACATCTCTCATCTCGTGAGTCAAATAATTTTATTAGCTAACTTTTCTATTTAAACAAATAAGTGAGGAAAACAGTTTTTTCACTTTGCATGGAAAACCATCAGTTTTAGCGAAAAGTGACTCGCAGGCAGCTTGTAGGGAGTAAAATTATCTACAAACTGAGACTGGTTAAATTAAAATCGGTTAATAAACAAAAAAGTTATTGCAAAAAAAACAAGAAAAGTGCCAATTTTTTCATTTGTTTATAACTATCGCATTTATTGTTAAAATTTTATAAAACCTATGACAAGTTGAGGGTTCTGTCATACTTTAAAAGTGTGCCAAAAGTGGGTGCTGTAGGTGCAAAGGTTTTCGCACAATTCTATTTGTTTATAGCGGAGGCTCCAAAAGTTATGAACTTTAAGCCTCTGTACAGACGTTAATTTTCAATCAAACATGATTCTGAAAACCCTCAGAAATACAAGAAATTAATGCAAGCGATGCAAAATTAAATGAGATGTGGAGTTATGCGGTTACCTTTTTAGGCCAGTCTTTATAGCTTTTTTCCCCACGCATTCGCTAGACCGAGTAATAGAACGCATCGCCGCTATCTTATTTTTTGCAATTAAATAGTTGAATTCACCTTAATGTTAATGTAGGAAATGAAAATATAGCTCTTAATGTATACTCTCTCCAAATTTCGGCTCTTAATAATTAACGACACTGCGATTAAATAAAAAAAAAATGTCTCGGCTTCTAATCAACTTAGAACAGCGATTTTTTTTAAATTCGAAGAAAAATAGTACTAACTAAACTATAGACGTTAGTATTTCGTTTTATAATAATTACCTATCTTGACAATTTAATAAATATTAACATTTTTTCAGTCAATTTTGAACAAATTAAATTTGAAAAATTAAATTCTCAGTAAATGCATATGTCAATACAACTATTTAGGTACAAAAACAACTAATGATCGAAACTCTACAACGCCTTTGAGCTTGGGAAAAATCAATTGAAAATACCATCTTCTTAGATAACAAATTCCGCCAACGCCAAACTAATGAAGCTTTCGGGCTGAAATTTTTACCACTTATTAAGGGTGCAAAAAGCCTCAAAAATCCTGAATTATAAGTGTCTGCGATGAAAATTGCATTAATTATTAGCAATTGAAAAAAACGGCCTTCTTCGACCATTTTTGAGCTCTTGCGCATAAACAAATTTTCAGAATTTAATGGGATTTGTCTTATTTTACAGATTTATCTAATACCTACCTTTTTTGTATAAACCTTTTTTCTCTATGAATAACAGTTTTTTTACGCGAGTCAAAATACCACTTTTCCATAATTTTGACCATTGTTTTAACACAGTTTCCCAACTAGTCTCGAGTTGATTTTTTGATATTTTGTTTATAACACGTTTCCCAACAATATTCCGCAGAGAAACTTCTAATAGTATTTTTTTTTTCCGAAAAAAAAAACTACAATGACTGGCCAAAACAAAGGCAACTCTGTTTAAATTTAATGTAAGGTTTATTGTTTACTGGGAAGGGGTAAAGGGGATTTTTATTAAATCTAAATTATACTTGTTCTGAATCTGATAAAAAAAAAACAAAGCTATAAATGTATTGTACCGATTATGTTTATCCTCAATAAAATATGAAATTAGTCACATCGATTTCTAGTTAAAACTGATTTCCAGATAAGGTAACAGTTTAGCGCAACATCAGATATTTTTTACGTGAACATTTTGAAGAAAAAGTCATTTTTTAAATGACATACCTTCACCTTCTGAATCTTTTACATGGGTTGGATGGCCTATTTCTAATAAATAACGAAGACAGGTACATCCCAAAAGAGCTCGCTAGTAAAAATTGGGCTTTCTATTATAATTATCAAATCATTTATTAAATTTTTGGAATGGTACGTCGAATCTAAACACTTCAACGACGTTGTAATCGGTATAATTCCAAGAAATATCTAGAGCTTATCTCGCAATGTTACATTTCCTACAATTCGGCAAGATAAGATTTGTCCTCGTCATAAAAATTTATAAGTATCCGAAAGATCAGTAAAGATAAGGTGGAGAAAAATTAACAGTGTTAATAAGAGCAACAAGTGCAACATTTCGTTCGTTAATTTCTATCACAGATCAAGGTAAGTTAATTTTCTTAACAGACAACACTAAAACTATTCAGAAAACATCACAGTACTCTTCTAAATGTATCTACTATCTTAAATTTGCCGTTTGATAAAATTAATTCTGAAGGTAATCACCCTTAAAGTTATTTTCAACATATTTAAGTAAATCTCTTTTTTCGAAAACTGTCATCAAAAGTCGACGTTTTCGTTATATTTTCAGTTGACAAAGTGAGTCTTTTTTGTTACCAGCTGCAAAATACTTTTATGTTCTATTATAGAATAATACACATTTTAAGTAATAAAACATTTCAATACAAAACAGTAACTATTATAAACTGAACGATTACTATTTATTTTGCACTACGTATAAATTGAAAGTGCCGATACTGCAGTGAGTTAAATTTATGACAGATACAGTGCTGTCAGTTATCGTATCTTTTAGTTCTGGTTGTTCAATAAGTCTGCTTCTGTAATTGTTTAAGTTTACTACGCACGTTGTATTATTGGCAAGTTCCGTTGGTTCTGCTATGTGCGATTGAAATTTTATTTTATATAGAATCTTCTATACAGGGTGATTCAGTCATAATGTCATTAATTTTAATCACGTATTCGGAAGGCTTAATAAAGACAGAAATTCGGAAAAAATTTTTTACTCGACTTTTAAAAATGAAAGAAATCAACCCGTAACTCCCGCTACGAGGGCGGCCCTGCCAGATGCCCGAATGCTCGGAAAATTTTGTAACGTAATGTCACGAACCAGCTGAAGCGAACAGCGTTGCCAAGTTCACATCATAATTGTAGTTTGAAATAAACTATGACCTTTGAAACCTTTAAAGCCTTACAAAGCAAACCATTCTAGATACTGTGAATGCATTGAAAAAATCGTTCACATTTATTCCGCTACCTCTCTGAGGGCGTTCGAAGTGGATTGATGAAATTTGGGTTAGTTATTTAACAAAAATTCGCTGGATTGGCATAAAAACGTCAATCAGAGACGCATTTAGGAAAGCTGAAAGGAGTGCCGTCAGAAACTTTTAAAATTTTAAACAAAATACAGTACATTTTTACTATACTTACTTATTCACCAACTCCATCAGCCAAATCTATGCTGGGCATCTTAAATTAATCCAAAACATATCACAGTTACAAAATTAAGCACGAAATGAAAACGGGGATCGCCGTTCGACCAGTTTCGACCAATAGTTTCGCAGAGCACGCCTTGATCAATGCTTACGCGATTGGAATATGCACCTTGATTGTACACCTGATACGAGACGTCAAAACAAACTTCCTATTTCCTCTGTTCAAAGTTACACAATGTATTTTTAACTTTTAAAGAGTTTTCCTCAAAAATTGCGTAAAATTAGCATGCATTTCGCTGTATTTCAGTTTTCGATCGTTTTTTACAAAAAACAGATATAAAATATAGAAATTTTCATGTATCGTAGATTTACATATAAGCGTCTATAAACCACTATTATTGGCTGTTGTTGGCACTGTTCACTTAGTAACGAAACAAGAATTGACAGAATTACCAGTGTAAGTTCCACCTTTCTAAGTCTGCAATAAAAACGACATCATTCTCTCACTTTTTGAGAAATATCGATCAAACAGATATACGAAAAAAGAATATTATTTATAGCTTTGTTTTATAAGTCTTCTTATGTTTGGATAACGTTTCAGATGAACATTTACTTACGTAAACGGCTATATCCTTGATTAGTTAAATCCTTAGCCCAAGTTGTATCAGGACACGTCGAACATCTTCAGAGATCTTTGAAGTAAAGGCATATATAAAGCCAGTGGCTTCAGATAATTGGAAAGACATACCATTTAAAAGACATCCCATATATTACTATGTTTCAGGTCGCTTCTAATTACGAGCATACAACACGAAGTTTAAAGAAATGGACAGAGCCAGGTATGAAAAGGGTGGAGACGCCGGCAGCAAGGGGGTTGGGTTTCAAGTCGGCCTCCTGACGATGTTCCTTCTGAACTCACTGCAGAGCATCCGCAACTGGAAACTGTCAACGGAAAATAAACGAGCGGGAAAGTTTGACGACGTGGTGTCGGAGTCGCCAGAGGGCGCAGTTTTGTTGCAGGCGAAGCACAAGAAGAAGAAGAAGATCACCATGGAGGACTTGCTTTCTACCAACTCGAGGAACGACGATTTTAGTCTCCCCAAATATTTCCTCTCATACCAAGAAATCAGAAATGAATTTAAACTGAAAAACGTGGTTATCTGCACTAATGCCAGTGTCCACGAGAAGGCTTTGAAATTTTTAGACCGTCGACAAATAAGTTCCGAAAGCATGCTATATTGTGCGGACGATGATTATTCATTTTATACGTTTAAAATGGACATTCTGCCTCGTTTAAAAGAAAGCGTAGAAATATACTTGGAAAAAAATTGTCAGAACAGAAATATTGACCAAACGGTAATCAACGATGAAAATTTAAAAGACTTTTTGGAACGCTTGCAGGTTTATGCCGGTTACCCATCGGAGAACACTTTGGAAAAAATTATCGAACAATTATTGTCCCACATGAATAGGTCTAACGCCTTGTACGAAAAAATTTCTTCTTTCGAAATACGCGCCAAGGTAATGGATTGGTTCCAACACAAAGACGGAATATATTTAATTGAGGCCCGCGCAAAGGCGATGTTTTCTGAATTAAGGACGGCCAAATACTGGCAAAAACTAGACCAATACAGAGTGGTCTTTCGACATAACGACTTGCGATTTACGGATTCCAAAAGAATTTATCACGTCGTAGCTAAAGACGGATATTTGCTACAGATGATAAAGGTATATCATGCGCTGAAGA